TTAGAAGATATTCTGTATTTGAGACTTATTGAGATCTCCAGACTAGTTATTTCATAGATTCACTTTATATTTTTGTATGTTGGATGATGAAATATCATTTTTATCTCTTTTATTTCATCGTATATCTCTTGTATTATCTTTTACTTGCTTTTGTACCTACACCTGTTGTTGACTCTACTAGAGAGATAGTAATTGTGATAGTGAAACATGTTATTACACGGTATGGTGCATTGCAGGTTTGACATTCCTGGTTTTATATCGAACAGTTGGTATCAGAGCTCTAGTTCCAGTATCCTTAGGATTATCCTATGTCAAGTCGTGGAGCTAGGATAGAGTTTCTTTGGATTCATGTATAGAGTCCGCTAATGATTTCCTAGTATGAGTGAGGACGATATATGCGTATATCTTAAAATTTTGAGAATATATATATTTTATGACAACTATTTTGTGTAAATTTAAGTATTTGTGTGAATACTAAATGTTATGAAAATCGTATTGTGATACATTATGTATATATATATGTCCATTTTGACTTATGAACTCTTATTTTTTATTATCAGAGATGACAGGATGTGGTAGACCTCGTACTCGGAGAGCTTGATAGGCAGAATCACAGCAGGCTCCATCTGAGCCACAACAAGCTCAACCCGAGTCACAGCAAGCTCAACCCGAGCTACAACAGACACCAGCTGAGCCGCAGCAGGCACCCCAATACCTAGTAGATATCATGGCTCCCCTTATAGCTAGGATGATAGCAATTGGGAAGCTTGTGGCGAATCTTATCACGCCACCACCACCACTGATAGCTCAGCCGCAGGGGATACCAGCCGTTCCCATCAGAGAGAGATCCCCAGAGATCACACCTACAACTATTCCACCAGCAGTCCTAAATAGAGCCACAGAGCAGGAGGCTTGGCTCCGTATAGTAGAGAGGTACCAGAAGATGAGGGCACCAGAGTTCCAGGGGTCATTAGACCCTCTTGTATCCCATAAGTGGAAGGAGGATGTGAGTAATGTACTTGACATACTTAATGTAGACTCAGTTCAGAAGCAGAGACTGGCATCTTACAGTCTGAAGGGAGATGCCGGGAGATATTATCGGCTCTAGTTTACTCCAGAGCATAGGATGACCCTCACATGGGAGGATTTCGTATATTTCTTTGATGGACAGTACATTTCTTCTATACCACGGACTGGGAAGGAGCTTGAGTTGTCCCGATTGACTTAGGGGGACATGACAGTAGCTGACTTTGAGAGCAAGTTTATGGAGTTACTGTACTTCATGGGTATGTGGAAGATAAGAGAGCGTCAGGCTCAGATGTTTCTAGCAGAGCTTCACCCTAATTTTCATCGATACCTCATCTCGAGGAAGTTTTATTCAGTACGAGAGATAGCTGAGGCCGCCACTTCATAGGAAATTAAGACGGCCATGTTTTAGAAAGACAATGAAGGGAAAGCTAAGACAGGACAGACCGGGGATAAGGGTAAGAATAAGAGACTTTTTTCTGGACCTTAGCAGCAGCATCATGGCCCTCATAAGAAGGGACCCCAGCAGGATCAGAGAGCAAATCAGCAGCGTAAGTTTCAAGGGGTTTTCTATAACTGTCACATGGTTGGACATAAAGCCTCGGAGTGCCGTAGTGCACCAGTAGGAGCTCAGCAGGGAAAGCAGCAACAGCGACTTCAGGGCAGAGGTCAGGGCCAGCAGATGAGGCTTGAGGCACCGCCAGCAGCTCAGAAGATTGAGGGATAGGTTTGCACAGTTCAGGAGGTTCCTCAGGTGTAAATAGTCCCGTATTCTCCAGCACCAGTAGTAGAGAAGTCTTCAATCACAGATAGAGTGTATGCGGTAGTTCCGCATGATCATGGAGCTAGCAGAGCCGTAATGGAAGGTACGTTCCTTATGAATTAATTTCCCGCCCATATTCTCTTCGATTCGGAAGCTTCACATTCCTTCATTTCGTATGCTTTTATGTCTAGACTCTAGCTCATAGCTCAGCCTCTAGACACCCCTTTATCAGTTTCTACCCCTTTAGGTGAGGTATCGCTTCTGGAGAGCGTTTGTAGGAGATGTACCGTCAGTTTAGACAAGTCGGAGTTTGTTGTCAATTTGATAGTGCTGCATATGTCTGAGTTTGATGTTATCCTTGGTATGGATTGGTTATCTTCCTACCACATTAGTATTGACTGCTTTGCGAAAACAGTCAATTTGCGAGCGTCCGATGAATTTGAGATGATTATAGCCACCTCTCAGGGAAACCGTTTTGCGGAGTCATTTTTGGCGTACATCGAGCAGGTGATGCGACAGGATCAGAGTATTGATTTAAACCGTTTTGCGGAGTCATTTTTGGCGTACATCGAGCAGGTGATGCGACAGGATCAGAGTATTGATTTATTGGATATTAGAGTTATCTCAGAGTATCAGGATGTCTTTCAGGACATACATGGGTTACCTCCTGTGAGAGAGGTTGAGTTTTATATTGAGTTGTAGCTGGGCACAGCCCCGATATCCCGCGCACCATATCACATGGCACCAGCTGAGATAAGGGAGCTTCAGACCCAGTTGGACGAGTTATTAGCTCAGGGTTTTATTCGTCGGAGTCAATATCCATGGGGAGCGTCAATTCTCTTCATGAAGAAGGACGACAGTGTGCGTTTGTGTATTGATTATAGAGAGTTGAACAAGGTCACTATTCGAAATAGGTATCCATTACCTAGGATTGAGGAATTGTTCGACCAGTTACACGGAGCGTAGTATTTCTCAAAGATTGATCTTCGTTCTGGTTATCATCAGTTGCTGTTCGCGTGGAAAACCGTTGCTTTCTTCATTAATGAGATAATTGTCATCTTGAGTTACAACTTTTCGTGTTTGCCTCTCTTGTTCTTCAGATCCGCGTTGTAGCGGACTCCGTCGGTAGACTCCATCGCTTTGGCGATTTGTTTGGCCAAGTGTTGGCGTTGCCTTTGGCAGGCTCTCTTTGAGAGAGTCACCGCTCCTTTGGTGACGGAGGAATTGGTTGGAACCAGCTTGATCTGGTGTCGTGGTGGTGACTGCGGACCGAACCAAGCGCTGTTGGGTCCAAACGTGGGGATGAGAGTGGAGGTGTGGCGTTGTAGAGACTTCAACTCTCTTCGTGACCAACCAATCCTTTCTGGGTATGAAAGAGAAGGAACTTGTTGGACATGCTGTGGACTTAGCGGGACGGGAGGTTTGATGCTAGACGAGCCCACTGAAAGTATTCTCGAACTTTGGTCATGCAGTGACACTCGGTGGTCGAGCCTCAGAGATCACTAACCACTGACTGGATCTGAATCCGCGGCTCATTGGGCGACGCTACCGCGATCTCGGCAGCGGAGGGATCCGGTGCATGATCCCCACTGAGTGGTCGACGCAGAGCAGATTTGTTCGCGGGAAAAATCGTTGGCTTTCTTTGTTATATGATTCGCATTGTATCTGAGTTACAACTTTTGAGTTGAAAAAGAGTCGCGGTCTTTTTATAGAGATCAGGCGGTTACAACGAAAATTCAGAATAAAAATAAAACAGAAGAAGTTACAACGTTTTGCTCATTTTGTGTCGAACGAAAATGTCGAGGCTCCTGTTGGTGCGGTCGCGTCGCGTTGGTTATCTTGCCTGACGAGGGAGTTGTATTCGCGTGGACAACCGAGTGAGGATCCGGTGATCGGGATCTACTAACGGCAGTACTTACTCGTATTATTTCACCAAGAAATAGTTATACGGGAGGAGAGTTGTTAAATCACCAGAAACAATCGATGCATGCGGAAGGTCTCACAGAATCATAAGACCAAGCTTAGATCCGGAGTGCTAGCCCTTGCGGAATCGAGATCGTGGTCGTCTCGAACACTGACTGAAGCTGCTTATTTGACGTGAGTGATGCCGGCCCGAAGCACCAGAGTCTAGGGATGAGCGAAGTCCTTGAGTGTGCCCAAGAGGGGTTGAATGCGTTGTTAAAGTTCTGCAGCTCTCCAAATACCAGCAGGGGCTTGCGCCTCTCCATAATTTTCCAACCTTCAAAATGAACAAGCCGCCTCTCCTATGTTAGTGGATCGCGCAAACGCAAGCAGCTGGGTGCGCCCGTGTCCTGTGGTAGGCCGGAGCACGCGGTGGCTAGGTGGCCGGCCACCTCCAAGGTGGCTCGCCGGCTCAGGCCGAGCCACCCTGAGGTGAGCTGCGGCGGCCAGCCCCAGGGGGTGGCTCGGCCACCCCAGGGGGTGGGCTCGGCCGACGCCAGGGGGTGTGGGCTCGGCTGCAGTGCCGAGCCACCACCCCTAGGCTGGCTCGGCCACCGAGCCACCTCCCTGGGGTGGCTCGGCCACCGAGCCACCTCAGGGTGGCTCAGCTTGGGCCGAGCCACCTTGAGGTGGCTCGGTTTCGGCCGAGCCCCTCCGGGTGTTGTTCGTTCCGTCATTTTTCCGTTGTCCGGTTCTGTGCTTCGTTGTTGATCTGGACTTGATTCGGTTGTGTTTCTGTTGTGTGGTTGATTGACCTGGAAACGACTCGTTGACTTGATTCCAGATTTGACAGTAAGTCCGGATCCTGATTAGGCAGTAAATCCACTTCTGAGTCTGAGTCCGAAACTGATCTTGATTCGATCGTGATTCGTTCGAGTCCGCTTTCGGTTGGATGACTTGTTGACTCTTCGAACACTTGGCTTGATCCCGCACGCGAATGGGTGTATTCCGTTGCTTGCGTGCGATTCGTCGATCTCGTCGCCTCGTTGGTTTGTCGGTTCGTGCCGAGCTGAGCTAAGGGACCTATAAGCAATTTTATATGCCTACAGATATCTTATAATTTTACATGCAAAATTGTAGCAATACTATTGTCTTGAGGACTACCCTAGGGCGTGGCACTATGTTTTCAATATCAAAGTTGAGGTCGTGCTCAAACAGTGGCGACATGAGCTGAAGATATCAACATATGATAAATATACCCAAGATTGGCAGAGATTTTTAAATCTCGATGAGAGCGTGGATCTCGATCATTTCATGGCTCTTCTTTTTTATTGAGATACCGAGTCCGCACAGGTATGAGTACATTATTAGGTTGCGTACAAAAGCATATTGTAAATACAATTCATTTTTAACACCCTTTTTTTTTGTAGGATAAATCTAAGAAGGGCTCGACGAACCGACATAGCAAGCGCAAGCTTGACCACCACTTGGGATCGATGTCCTTTGCCAATCTTGAGTATAGATATTGTCGAGACACGGTATAATATTTAAAGTTGATGTATTCACATGCTAACACCTTCAATTTGACCAAACTCTTCGACATTTCCTATTATATTTTGTAGGGGAAGCCGATAATGCCGATCAATTTGAAGGCAAAGTTAGCTTACGACACCTTTCACTCAACATATAAAGATGAAGAGAAGATTAAAGAAACCATGGTGTTGGTGGTAATTATTTTTCAACAAATATAAAATAATAACTATTACGTTGTTGTACATTTCATTAATTAAGAGTTTAAACTTTTATACCTTGAAATCATTATTTGCCAATTCAATATATATCTATTTTCTGTATGTGATTTAGGATAATATTGCTGCCGCGTCGAAGGATGCAGCACTACGTGCTACCCAAGAAGCTGCTGATGACCCTCATGTTTTGTCAAGAGAGGAAAATAATGCCATGGCAATGAATGTGATGGGGTATAATAACCGGGGTAGATTTCCATTGATGGGGGTTGGAGCTCAGCGGGGTACCTCCAGAAAATCCTCCACGGCGTCCTCAACAACCTCGACTGCGACTACATCATCAAACAGAACTCACACCACTTCTACAATTATGCGCGTCAACCGTTATCTGCGCGGTAAGATCGACCCTACATTACTCATGCAGATGACGACGGCTATGTGTTCAGATTTGCCTCCATCCCCTACTAGCGACGATGTTTTTAGACACATCGTTTTATGCTTGTCCGGGAAGATTTCAGCTGAATTATTTGGAGAAGTTTTGGACCAAATAGATTTAGATGCTGGCGCACAGGTAAATTAATAATATGTCTTATATTGTTAAATTTCATTCTCTAAATGTAAATCTATTTATTTTCAGGCTGGACTTGCTGGAGGAAGCAGTAGTGGCGTGCAGAGGAGGGAACTTGACGATGATGATGACTCTTGATTTTATGAGGTAAGTTAGTCAATTGTATGTGTGTATGTGTGTATGTGTATGTAGAGACAAGTTTAATATGCTTCCACGAGAACTTTAATATGCTTGGTTCTTTATATAGGTACTAGTAATGAACCCAACTTGGTGAGTTTTTCCCTCGTGAAGCCCTGGGTATTGTTCATTTCTTCACTAGTTAGGATGTAGTGACTATAATGGTTACACTTCCCTGGTTTTTAATTGGTTTAACCAATCGAATATATGCATGAAGAATGATGTGATTGCTAACGTGTATATTGTTTCAAAAGATTTGAGTATGAGCTAGTGTGGAATTCCACGAGAACATTCATTACTCAGATGGAATCAACACTAGCAACTATGGTTTTTGTTACAGTTTTATTAGACTTCTTAAGAAGTCTAATATAACTGTAACAAAAACCACAGTTGCTAGTGTTGATTCCATCTGAGTAAAGTAAACTATGGTACATCAGAAGTTTCTCTTTGTGAATGAAGGCCACAGCTTGTGCAAGATTACCTTTCAATGTCTATCCGTAGTGAAGACTGAAGAGAATAATGAATGTGCCCATCTAGATCAGTATCAATCACTTTATGCTCAGAGGTTAAACCACCTTTGTTATTGTGCTTTAGCCTAACTTGTATTTGTGAGAAGAGGATAAATCTATGGGGTCTGCGCACTTCCCTTTGACATTAACTGGTTGCAAAACAATATTTAAAGTTGATATGCTTATGCTGCATTTCATTAGAGCATATATTAAATAATGAACGACTTTCAAAAGCATCCATTTAGATATAATTATAGAGTGATTTGTGATATTAAACTACTGGGTTGTAAGCAATTAAACTCGCACATGGTCATACAGAGACCCGGCAATCTTACAGTCATGACTTCAGTCTTTCCTTTAATGTCTGTTTAATATAAACAAAAAGCTGAAGCCTTTTCTTTGTTTCTTTTTCTGTGATATGTTTCGTTTGTGCTAATAATTTGGCACTCACGGGTTTGAGTTTATCTTCATTGCTAAAACATTTGTCGCGTGAGAGATTAGGGAAGCTATGTGTATTCCACTAGTGACTAATTGCTCCAGTTTAGCTTATAATAGGAAGAAAGATTTGTTCCTTTGCGTAGAATAACTCATGTGGTGCAGGAGATTCTTCTTATGTTGATGTGTTATATCGATAACTGCTGAAAGTGAATCAAAAGAATTTACACCACGAATTTACACCATGAATAGCCAAAGTGACATCAAAAGAATTAAAATTCATCATGACTTATTGTTAAGACATGTACGATTAAGGATTTGTTTATCTGGTGGTGGGCTTAATGTGGCTTGATATGATATATCCAACATTACTAAGCATACTTCTAAATTTAGGAATATATATATCATATTCTTAAAAATAATGCCACCTTCTTTTATCTTGCAGGTGCATGTGTTTCTTTGAGCATCTCTAGAGAAAATAATGCTCGTGGACCTGGATATCGGTTTGTAAATCGTCGTCGTATTTTAAATCTAAGACTTTCTTTGTGTTGAGCTCAAAACAAACAGCGAGTTGATTGAGTTGATATGCAAATTTATATGCATATATGTAGATGATTATAAGTTGGAAGAGTTAAGAGAGAGATGATATGTACGAAAAATCATGTGTGACTTTGTTGTGATTCTTATTGTTGATTATATATGTGATTTTTATTGTTGATTATATATGTGATTTTTATTGTTGATTTGTAAAGTGGATTATACAGGTATACAGCCAATTTTAAAATTTGTGTGATTTACAGGTATACAGCCAATTTCGAAACTGCATAACATTGGAAAGAAGCTTTCCCAGACGGATTTTTTACATCCCAGACGGAAATATCCGCCTGGGATGTAAAATCGTCTGGGTTGACATTAGATATCCTAGACGGAAAATTCCGTCTGGGTAAGTTATTCCAGACGGAAAAGAATTCCATCTGTGATAATTAACCCAGACGGAATTTTCCGTCTGGGATGTTAAATATCCCAGACTAAAAATTCCGTCTGGGTTAATTATCACAGACGGAATTTTCCATCTGGGATATTGAGTATCTCAGACGGAATTTTCCGTCTGTAATGTATCCCAGACGGATATATCTCAGATGGAAAATTACGTCTGGATTAATTATCGCGGACGAAAAAAATCCGTCTGGTATGAATTACAGACGGTTTTTTTTCCGTCTGTAATAATCCGTCTAGAAAACATTACAGACGGTATTTCCGTCTAGAATAAGTTATTCTAGACGGAAACAAATTAGACATGTAATCCAGACGGAATTCCGTCTGGAATAGTATTTCTAGACGGAATCGAGGTTATTCCAGACGGAATTTTCCGTCTGGAATGCGTCGTTTTGTACCAGTGAATGTAAGTTAAGGATCTATCATAAGGATCTATCGTGTAAACTTACTTCAGAGCGAAGTAGTTCTTTTTAGGTACCAATCTTTCTAAATGTAGTAGTAAACTTTGATGTGATAGGACCTGTGTAATGAACATATTCTAGGTGAGTTAGGGAGATATATGGGAAAAGAATTAGAAAGTAACTGATTAAAGGAAAAACATATGCATACATTTTGCAAAAAATAGCGAAAAGGGATAGTTGAACAACCTCTTATATACATTGATTGTGTCATCCTTTCCGGCTGCAAATGCTTCCAAGGAATCCTCAAAGGAAAGATCCCCTTTATAAGCTTTGTCAAGTGATATCCTGCAAGGGGAGAAACATGATATAACATGCAAGGCTTGATAACATAGATAAAGATATAATTTTTAAAAAACTAAAAATGTGTGAGTAAGATCAACCAGTTCATATCTACGGATATGCCTACAAACATGTGATTTTATGCAGATGGTGTTCCTTAAGAATGCAAAAATATTTAAATAATTATTATGACATAAACACTAACAAGAAATAGATTATGACACAAACACTAACAAGACAAAGATTATGATATATAACTGCAGAACTTCTAATTTGTGCAGTTTGGATGTATAAACAGTGAGGTATCCATAAATAAATTTGTACAAGGAACACATGTCAGCACGCATGTGTTGTGCGCGACGGAAGCCTCGAAGCGACATGAACAATCTAAGAGATTAATCACAACTAATAAGCTAAACACAATACCACAGCAAGACAACGAGTTTAACGTGGTTCGGGAAGTTGCTTACGTCCACGGGGTAAGGAGAGGGGAGTTCTTACTATTAGAAATCAAGAGAATACAAATAGTGTTACAAATCTCACCGATCAAACCCTAAAACAAAACTCTAGATCTCTCACAAATCTCCCACAATTGGATGCAACAATCCTCTCCAAAAGACTGCTAAAAAACGTCCTTGCTTAACTCTAATTAATCAAGTTTAGGGTTATATACCAACTCAAAACAAAACGGGTTAAAAAACCAAAGCCTAGCCCAAAACTGATCTGCGGTCAACCGCGTAGGTATCGCGGTTGACTGCCACGGTCGACCGAACCAAAACCCGAGAGAAAAATCACCTACAGGGTTGGCGCGATCGACCGTGACGGTCGACCGCCTTCAGCTCCGAATCCTACTCCTCTCCTGTGCACGTTCGTGGTCGACCGCCCCGCCCCCGCGCCCCCCCGCCAGTCTGCATGGCTGTTCTCCTAAGCTTTTTTCGAGCTTATTTCACAATTTCTTTAATTCTCCACCTCGGCGAATGTTTCTACCAAAACTGAGCTGACACCAAAATCATCCAAAAGTCCCACTTGTTGCGTCCAGGACGTCATGGAAATACCCCACGATAACGGACTCAATCCACAACAAGTCGGAAAACCAAACGTGAGCTGAAACGATCTCCCCCCATCTGAATTAAACCGGCTGCATCGAAAGACTGCCTACGTATCCCCTTGTCCAAGGAATCAAGCCAAACGTAGTTCATCCAAATAGCCTCCAAAGGCCTTAATCCACTAGAAGAGTTTGCAACCCTTCTCCAACATCACGATCAAGTCTATGGCTGATAGCACCTCCAATAGTCCCAAACTGAAACAATCCAAACATCTCCACCTGAGATGAACCAATGGCCACATCCATACTCCATCTATCATCTACACTCGAATCGATCAACCTATCATCTACATCCAAATCAACATGATTCCCAATCTGTGTTACATCAGCTGGAATCCCAAATGATACAGTATGATCTGAAGTATGTGGAGTAATATCCACCCAAAGTGGAGTAGCATCACTCTCCACCCGATGTGATGTCCTAATGATCTAATCACCACTCTCCACCTGCCAAGAGTCAAACATGACATACTTGCCCAGAACAAAGTCAGAAGCCAATACCTGATAATCAAACATGTCTCTGAATCCCAAATGTGCTATCAGATCAAATCTCACATCACTGATGTGACCAAGTGCTGGGTAGCTAAACATCCAACACAACCCAAAATCTGAAACAACTTCACTAGATCCAAAATCTCTACAAGCAGCAATCGGCAACCTATGCATAAGATGGCTCAAACATGTCGTAGCCTGCACACCAATGCCAATACTCGACATTAAACGCCTATCCTCCTCCAGAAAGGAACAACTCCCCAAATTTGTCATCTCATCACGTCGCCTCAAAGTTTCCACACCAATAAATTGTCTCAAATTACCTTGAGCTCAGCACAAACACAAAAAAGAACCCCTACTATAAACAGAATGTCGGGTTACCTTTTTACCAACACACTTCCTTCATCTGTTGCGGGCTTCTAGGACTTCACACCAACGGGACTTGGTTGCAACCCACCAATACCTAGAACAATCCCCAACTGTAGAAACGACATATCTATTACCTCCCAATGATGCTCCATTGGAAGGCTCCCGAATGCATGAATGAACACCCCTCAGAAGACTCCTCGAATGATGGATAGAAGTGCCAAACTCCACCTCGGTCTTCTTGCTCATACCAATGGGTTCACAGGACTTCAAACTACATGTCAAAACACTCCTCAACAACCTATGCACGGTATTACCAATCAAATAACTCAGCATCAAACAACGTCACGGTCTAGCCGAATCTGATAAAGTCGTCAGCTCCCTATCAATCGCCATGCTTCTGAGCAAATACGCCCTTCATCATAATCATGGACCCCAATGTGACCTTCAAGCATGTGTCCACCAAGGTCACCCTATAGCCTGCTGTCTCCAAATCTCCTAGTGAAATGATGTTTATCTTTAATTGTGGAACGAACCTTACATCATCCAACTCTCGCATCATCCCGTCACTTATCCTAATCCGAACAGTACCAATACCACCAATAGAGCATGCATATCCATTACCCATGAGCACGACATCCTTTCTTTCCAACTCCTAAAAGCTGGAGAACAAATCCCTCCTAGGGCAAATATGGTAAAAAGCACCTGAATACAACATCCACTCCTTAGAGTCGACATCACAAACTGATGGTAGTTTGGATAACGAATAGCTGGAAGAATCTGAATCTGAATTGTTACAACTAGTATTGACAACATTCACCTCTGAAGATTGTACAGCTTTCCCCTTATTCTTCTTAGCTCAATCTAACTATGGACATTCAGCTTTTCAATGTCCATCCTCTTTACAAAATGCACACTGATTCCTACGAATCCCACGATGTGCACCTCTAGATAGTGACCTCCTGCTTCAGTTTGAACCACGGCCTTAAACTACTAATGTATCTCCTGATGCCTTCTCATAGGACTCATCAACACTTTTCCTCAACTCATAATTCACCAACGCTGAGGTTACCTCCTTGTAGCTAGTAGTAGTTTTTCCATTAATCATGGTGAGAACAAAAGTACCATAATCATCCTCAGGTAACGAACATAAAAGTAGCATTGCCTTGCCTTCATCAACCATGATATCCACATTGGCCATGTCTGAAAGTAGCTTCATGAAGTTGTTAACATGCTCCCTGATGGAAACTCCCCTCTTCATCTTAAACTGGTAAACATCTTCTTCAAGTGAAGTCAATTCTCAATGCTCTTAGTAAGATACTTTTCATCGAGTGTTTTCCACATCTTCTTCGCTGACGTCTCGTTCATCACGTCATAGATAAGATCTAGCATCAAGCATAACCTAATAACTCTATAAGCTCTACTATTCATCTTCTTCCAAACCTTTTTTTTTATATCAGCAGGTTTCTCTTGCAACTCAAGAGTCTCTTCCAAGTTTTGAGCATCCAACGCATCCATCACCTGGCACCTCCACAAACCGAAATTGATCTTGCCATCAAACTTCGGAACATCGATCTTCATGTTATTAATGCTCAAACTATGTATCGTCTTCGTAAGAGACGATCCCGATGTGCTTTTTTTACCCATGTTGTTAATCTAACTCTTCAAATAGGAATCCTTCAGCGAATCCTTCAAACAAGCCTCAAGCCGAACCCGAAGCTATGATTCTAATTGTTGTACGCGGCAGAACCCTCGAAGTGACACAACAATCTAAGAGATTAATCACAACTAATAAGCCAAACACAAATACCATAGCAAGACAACAAGTTTAACATGGTTTGGCAAGTTGCCTACGTCCACGGGGTAAGGAGAGGGGAGTTCTTACTATTAGAAGTCAAGAAAATACAAATAGAGTTACAAATCTCACCGATCAAACCCTAAAACAAAGCTCTAGATCTTTCATAAATTTTTCACAATTGGATGCAACAATCCTCTCCCAAAGACTGCTAAAAAACGTCCTTACTTAACCCTAATTAATCAGGTTTAGGGTTATATACCAACTCAAAACAAAACGGGTTGAAAAACCAAAGCCCAACCCAAAATTGATCTGCGGTCGAACGCGGCGGTCAACCGCGCATGTATCGCGGTCGACTGTCATGGTCGACCGAACCAAAACCCGAGAGCAAAATCACCTACAGGGTTGGCGTGGTCGACCGCGATGGTCGACCGCCTTTAGCTCCGAATCCTACTCCTCTCCTGTGCACGTTCGCGATTGACCGCCGCTGAATCGCGGTCGACCGCCAGTCTGCCTGGCCGTTCTCCTTAGCTTTTTTCGAGCTTCTTTCGCCATTTCTTCAGCATGCACACACATAGGGTAATATTTGAATAGGGAAGATCTGAGGATTATATCTAGAAAACCATTACATAAGTTGGTATTAAGCAACTGAAGTACGGTGATCTTCTATTGGGATTACGACGCTAGCTGACAACTTCATTTGAGGACTAAGCAAGAAATGTAAAATTCAAAGGTAAAATAGGATCCCTAAAGTCTTTCAAAAAATGAAATCTAAGAAAGCCACTTATAAAGAATCACCACCTAAAAGACTGATCTTTTAGGATAACCACAATTATGCGCGCTGCATTGAAGCAAACAAAGCTATTTGAAGTTAAATAGTTTGAGTAAATGCATACATTCCTTATGTTATTGTGTTGGAAGGATATAATATTAGTAAATTTTTCCTTAGATGAGTTTTTTCTTATTTAACTTGCAAAGAAAATAGCATTAGCAAAATATGAGTTACTTGCTTACCAAGAACAAAGATGCGGCGACCAAATAATTAGAAGGAATACATCAGACTTTATCATGCAAACTTAAGCATTATACAAGAAAAATGGTTTTTTATGGCTAAGGGTCATTGTACAATGTATTGATTTTAATGCATTGCTTTTGCTTCCTAATTACACTAGTACAAAACCCAACAGCCCCAACGGTTGGTTGGAACCGTTGGGACAACTTTCATCAGCCCCTACGGTTCCAACCGTTGGGGCTGGTATTTTCACATAGCGGGAGTTTTCCCCCCTCTTTTTTACCAAAAAAAAAGAAAAAAAGGAAAAAACCCCCAAATTCAATGTCGCCGCCGCCTCCTCCGTTCTCCCCTCTTTTCCGCCGCCCAAAGATCGCCGCCGCCGCTCAGAAATCAAAGTGAGTCTTTTATCTATAATTTAATAGCATAAGCAGTCTTTTTTCTACAATTTACTTATTGATTGAATAACTACTAAGGCTTTGGATTTGGTTTTGACCTCAAACTGATATCTTTTTTCTTGTTTTCCCTTATCGTACAAATGCGAAATACGAAACCTATCAGAATCATCACACTCAACTCGAGATACATGAGGTCTACGTACAAGAACATCTAGTCATATAAGATGAAGTTCATACACAATAAACATTTCATAGATAACAAATTCACCATAGAAACCTAGTGAAAATTTCACACACAATAAATATTTGATGCACTAGGCATGTTTCACATTTATGGAAATTATGATTAAATTTAAACAAGTAAATAAAATTTGATATAGTTTTTATAATTTTCTAAAGATTAGTGCAAGCGCACTTAATTTATGAGTTATTATCACTAACTCTGTCTTTGTTAACTTATCATGGCCCGTGACTATATCAGGGTTAAGGACTGGATGTATGTGAATCGTGAAAAACGCACAAAGGCTGAGTTTATTAAAGGAGTTACTTCTTTTATGAACTTTGTACGTGAACACGATAAGATCCAACATGGCATGATTCTTTGTCTGTGTAGCCATTGCGGGAATACTTTGCATCGTAAAGAGGAAGATGTAGAACTTCACATTGTTAAGTATGGTTTTATTAGAGGTTATACAACTTGAGTATATTACAGAGAAATTCTAACTCCCATTAATGCCGAAGAAGAAGAAGAAGAAGTTGACGATATTAACTTGTTTTTGGAAGAGGAGATGGAGGAAATGGTAGAGGTTGCTTTCGGTGACCCTAATCATGTTGAAGATAGTCCTCCCAGACAAGAACAATATGTAAATGAGTATGAGAAGTACATGAATGATGCTAGGAGACTGATTTATGAGAATGCAAAATATTCCACGTTGTCATGGTTCGTTCAACTTTTCCAGATTAAGTGCCAAAACAAATGGAGCAACAAGTCATTCATGATGCTTCTTAAATTCCTAAAAGATTCTATGCCTCTTGGGAACAATGTCCCTGATAGCTGGTATGAAGTTCAAAAGATAATGTCTAATCTGGGTTTAAATTGTGAGAAGATTCATGCATGTCCCAATGATTGTGTACTGTATTTGAAAGAAAACTCATATAAGAAAGAGTGCCCTACTTGTGGGGTGTCCAAATATAAGAAGAAGACACATACTAGCAAGAATGACATACCTCTCAAGGTAGTACGATACTTTCCTATTACACAGAGGCTACAGATACTTTACAAGTGTAAGAAGATAGCGGTGGCAATGACCTGGCATGATCGTGCTCTTCCAAGTGAAGATGGCAAAATGAGTCATCCGAAAGATTCACCTGCATGGAAGAATTTCAACAATTTACATCCAATATTTAGTCAGGATCCTCACAATATCAGGCTCGGACTAGCTAGTGATGGCTTTTGCCCTTTTAGTTTTAATGGTAATCCACACAGCACATGGCCAGTTGTAATGATCATTTATAATCTCTCACCGTGGTTGGCTATGGATCAATCATATTTTATGATGCCTCTTTTGATTTATGGACCCAGTTCACCAGGAAATAATATTAATGCTTATCTCCGACCTCTCATCGAAGAGTTACGGTCTTTATTCATTGATGGTGTGGAGACATATGATGTAGATAAAGGGGACACCTTCATAATGCGTGCGGCCTTAATGTGGACAATTAATGATTTTCCTACATATGGAATGCTATCAGGATATTCTGTACATGGTTATAAAGCATGTCCATATTGCCATGTGGATACAACATCGACATGGTTGCCTTTTAGCAAAAAGGTATGTTATTGTGGTCGGTATGTTATTGTGGTCATCGACGTATGTTGAAAGAAGACCATCTCTATAGGGATGATGATGTTCACTTTGATGGTACTACAGAGCATCGAAAGGCTCTAGTCCCCTTATCTGGAGCGGATATACTTTCTCAATGGAGTGATTATGAAAATGCGATTTTTGGAAAAGTAAAGGAAAGACAGGAAAAGCCACAAGGATGGAATAAGAAAAGTATTTTCTTTAAACTACCGTATTGGGTGACAAATACAGTGCATCATAATTTAGACGTCATGCACATTGAGAAGGGGGTATGTGAGCACATACTTAACTTGCTCCTTTGTAAAGATGGAAAATCAAAAGATAACCTACAAGCTCGAAGGGATCTACAACACTTAAACATTAGAAAAGAGTTGCACCCTATACCTAAATTAGATAAACCAGGAAAATTTTCACTCCCCAATGCCGTTTATCATATGTCAAAACTAGAAAAGAAAATATTTTTGGAGGTATTGCATGAGCTGAAGGTTCCTACAGGGTTTTTTGGATCATTTAATAAGAAGATAAAGACTATAAAAGGCAAGATAGATGGGTTGAAGAGTCATGATCACCATGTTATTATGGAGCACCTTCTCCCATTATCCCTTAGGGCTTCGCTTCCTGAATCTGTTGGTTTAGTGATCAATGAACTTTGCAGCTTTTTTAGGGGAATCTGTTGGTTTAGTGATCAATGAACTTTGCAGCTTTTTTAGGGAATTGTGTGCTAAAACCATTGAGGACAAGGAGTTGGAGAAGCTACAACAGCTTTTTTAGGGAATTGTGTGCTAAAACCATTGAGGACAAGGAGTTGGAGAAGCTACAAGAAGCAATTTCCTTAATATTGTGCAAGCTTGAGCGGATTTTTCCACCATCATTCTTTGATATTATAATACACCTGATTGTTCATCTTGCAATCGAAGCAAGGCTTGCTAGATCGGTACAATATCGGTGTATGTATGCTATAGAAAGGTGTTTCGATTTTTTCTTTGACACAACAAATATAACTTTTCTATTTATGTTTTTATGTAGTAATCTAATACTAGTATTTGTAGGTACCTTCTCACTCTAAAAACTTACATTCGGAATAGAAATCAGCCAGAGGGTTCTATAATGGAAGGTTATCTCCTGGAGGAGGTAACGACATTTTATTCTCATTATTCGGATGAAAACATAGAGACGAAGCTCAATAGGCCTGTGCGTATTCGTGATGGAACACATGGCAAACCAACTTACATGACAATGGGAATCATATTTATTAATCAGATACATCAATTTATCCTCCTCAATAGCGTTTGCCTTGAGGAAGTTAGAGGGTAAGTCTATTTTGCATTTACTATTATACGTGTATGTTTGCATGAAATAATATAATGTTGATGTTAACAATTCATGTTAAGAATATAATTCATAAGGATGAATTACATGAAGAGCATCGCAATTGGAATGATGAATGGTTGGAGAAGCATCATCAAGAAAATTTTTGTGCCTGGTTTAACATCTATTATTTTACAGATTGATTCTCAGACCACTCGTACACCACCTGTTGTTCCTGCTACTACTTCCCCGACTTTAGCTCATCATTCTCCGGATGCTCAGAGTTCTACATCTGTTCCTCAATGTTCTCCTCAGGATATTTCGATACCAAACCCTCTTGCTAGTCGATTGGGAGGCATCTTAGGGAGCTTTACACAGGAGGGCTATAGCGAGGAGGACATCCGCAAAGGTTTTGCTGATTGTATTCGATTGAATCAGCCGTGACTTGTACTTTTAATTAACATACTTAAGATATTTGTATATTTCAGATATCCTCTTTTGGGACTTGAGTAATTTATAAGTTGTTGTATTTTGATTCTAGTCAATGGTTTGTTTTATGCGTGGGAATACATATGTTGTGAACATGTATATTATATATTTTGTGGGTTGTATTTTGATTCTAGTCAATCTTTTGTTTTATGCATGGGAATATATATGTTGTGAACAGGTATATTTTATATTTTTGTGGGAAATGTTATATGTAAACATTGTAGGCAAAAGTGAAAAAAAGTAAAAACACAAGCACCAATGGTTGGAAACGTTGGTACAAGTTTTGAAACAGTTATTGCAAGAAAACAACATCAACGGTTACAACCGTTGGTGCTGTTGTTTGCACCAACGGTTGCAACCGTTGGTGCTGTTATTTTCATAATTTAATTTTTTAAAATTATTTAATTATTTTTTTACTTGTACCAACGGGTGGAACCGTTGGTGCAGAATTTACACCCGTTGGGGCAGTTTCAGTCCCAACGCTACTTGCAGCAACGGGTGTTTTTTCTGTCCCAACGGTTCCAACCGTTTGGGACACTATCTGCCCCAATGGTTACAACCGTTGGGGCAGACCTTCTTTGTACTAGTGTTAAAACAAAAAATGTCATAAAATAAAGAAAAACCCTCAAGTAATGTCAAATTAACCAGTGACAAAATAGGTGGAATAAAAAAAGACCAATCTATCTAAATCTTTTAATAGGTTAATTCTGGTTACTAATTTGAGACCACATGAATCCTTGCACAGCACCAAAATTAATCAACAACCCATATTTTATTTCAAAAAAATAAAATAACAACTCAAAAACTGTTAAAAAATTAAAATAGAAACAAAAGAAAATTAAAATAGAAAGTTCCTAGAGGAGAGACAATTTTGAGCCTTACTCTTTCTCTCTCTCTCATAAAGCTTAATCAAAAGAAAAATTCCTTAAGGACCCAAAATATAGGACCAATAGGGGGGACAAATGAGGTGTCCCCCTCCTAATGAATAATGAGTTGGCCATCATTAATGATGATCAACTCATTATCCAATAGGAGGGGGACACTTGACTTGTCCCTCTTATTGATCCCATATTTTGGGTTCATGTAGCAAAATTCTTTTGATTAGAGCTTTGCTACATGGACCCAAAATATGAGACCAATAAGAGGGACAAGTGATGTGTCCCCCTTCTATTAGATAATGAGTTGGACATCAAAACTACTCTTAAATCTCTCTGTTCCTTTCTTCTTCCAATTTCCGCTTCTATTTAACAAATATCTAACCTTAGTTCTCAATTACCTCACTTGGTTTGGGTGATCCATCGAATCTTTGAAAATGTGATATGATTTTTTATTTTGTTATGATGTTCAATTGAATAATGTTAATTGTTGGGTGGCTTTTCTGGTAAAAATCTAAGAAGATAAAAGGAGTATTCTGATATCCCGAAACTTAACAAGGATTTTATAATATTTTGAAAATTAGGGGAGATCATTTGATAATCGTCCAAAAATAGGGTTCGGTTTTCTTTTTAATTTTTTTTTCGTGGGGGTGGGGGTCTGATATTTAGCCTACAATATATTGGATCACGATGAATATTAAAGAAGAAACAAAAATAGATCATAAGCTAGCAACTAACCCTCTAAATATAAATGACGAAATATGCCAGTGGAACAGTACACAACCTCGTAACAAAGAATTAAGCCCACCGTACGTGTCTAGTTTAATTTTTTAGTAGCATTATATCCGCACCACATGTCGCGAATTTTTTTTCGTTCACTATATAATTTTCACTTTATATTATACTAACATTAAAAGTATATTCATCAGAAAAATAGCATTGAATATTTAATTCGCATATAGAAGATCAAGAACTAAAATGAACTCTTTATAATAGATAATTATGATTCTATGAATCGCCCAAGAAAAGGAATGCAAGACGTATCTCATATGACAAATATTTCACATAATGTCTATCAATTAACCACTAAGCAGATACTCATAAATATGATAATAATTTGTCGCCCTCCCTTATTTGCAGGTTACATACTCATACATAAGTAAGTTCGAAGAACATATGGCCCATAAATTTGTTGACATCAAATAGCAAATAAAGTTATTTCCAATTTTGCAAGAGATCGATCATAAAAACATACTTCCTTGGTTGTCTCTATTTGGCGGTGATTGTTTATTTAGCGTAAACAATTCAAATACAATTTTAAACAACCACCAAGTATCCACCACGGTAGTTAGCGTAAACAATTCAAATACGCTGGTCCTCATCGCATTATTAATTATTCGTGGTCAGAGCCAACGGCTGCTACATCTCCATCTTCAGCTTGGGCGATTCCATTGCTGACACTGAAAACTACCTCCTCTCCGTTGATGGCAAACCCTGTGGCATTTCTAAAACCATCTCCAATCCATTGCACCAAAATAGTACAAATTTTGTACCAAAATGGTACAAAAGTCACATCTAACAGTAATTCATCTCCAACCAACTGCACCATATTTTGCACCAAAAAAGAATATTCTTAGTATATTCCTTTTTATCTACTTTTATATTATTATTTTCTATTCCTTATATTTTTAACTATTTCAACAATTAACCCCACATATCAAATTTTATTTTTTTTCACATATTCCTTTTTATCTACTTTTAATTATAATGTCTAGATTTTAATATTATAATTAATAATAATGTTTTTTAAATTTTAACATTATTTTTATAATTAAAAAAATAATTTATTTTGTCCAAATTATACAATTGGAGTAAAATTATAAAATTTAAATATTATTGGGGTTGTTTTATAAATTTAAATAAAACATGAACAGTAATGAAGCGATGAACAGTGCGACTCCATATTTGGTGCATCACTGTTCAAATGCATCAAAATGGCGCAGGAAATGGGGCAGGGTTAGAGAAGGAACAGTGCCAAAAAATGCACTGTTTGTACCATTTTGATGCTGGGATGCCCTAACCTTCCCTACGGTGAAACTTTCTCCACTGTTCGCTTCTGCGATGGCAGGATCATCGTTTATGTCATAGGTTTGTACTACTAAGTTGTTTTTGTTGATCGTGTCGTTAATTTCTAGTTGGTAGAAATTAATTTAATTAATTGAGTTTGTGTATGTGCAGTTGAAGCGCTCGCGACATGCCTTTCTTGCTTCCGTCTCTTGGAGCCAGTCATGATTCCTTCTTTGGGGTGAATTTCGCCGTTGGAGGGGCAACTGTACTTGATGGTTACACAGCGCAGAATTTAAAAACCTCGGAATCTACCAATGGTTGTTCAACTCTACTTGATGGTAACACAGCGTGGAAGTTAAAAACCTCAAAAGTTTTATTGATAAAAAAGATTATGCCTCTAGGGTTACAATACTTTGCTTAAATAGAAAATAAACAAGACTCCTACTATGACTCGAACTTTGTAAAAAATAAAAATAATAAAACTCTCCTTAAAAAACTCCCTAAGATTAGGGAAGTAAATCAGTCAAATTTATAATCAACCCGGATTTGCTTCCTAATTAATCAATACAGACTCTTAAAATATTACCTAAAATAGTAAAAAACTGATAAAAACTCTCATATATCTCATTCCGGAGGGAATTTCGTAAAATAGATGGTGGAAAACCAAACAACGGCGGGTTTGGATGACTTCGTCTTGGGAAAAATATGCGATTTACATATATAATATTCGCCCAATTCTGACATACGGTTTGAGAGACATGACCCGTTCTGTATTGTAAATCATTATCTTTGGCTGGGCCTACTTTTGGACTTTTGACGGTCTCGCTTGTCCATAAATATATCTACAGTATGTTCTATTTTAGATGGTGATTTTTTTAGGAAGAAAGGGATGAACATCACCTAGACAAATGACCCGCTAGGTGTTCAGATGGAATGGTTAAGCAGTTACTTTATCTCTTTGCTCTCCTCCTCTCTCAGGTCGGCATATCTTGGATATTAAATTCGTCATGTCGTACAGTTGCCACTATGTTAACTTTATATTTAAACAAAATCAATGTGTATACTCACATTTGTTAGTTTATGTGTAGACCCAAAGCTGTAGCCGAAGCTGGAATCAGGAAGATGAAGAAAGCAGTCAAGACAAGCTACGGTCGACCGTGGCGGTTGGTGCGGTTAATCGCGAACGTGCACGAGATAGGAAAAGTCTCTTGACTTTTTTCGGTTGACTGTGGCAGATGGTCCGGTCGACCGCAAGACCCTGTAGCCATTTTTGGGTTTCTGTCTTTTATCCGGTCGACCGCGACTGGTTAGGCGGTCAATCGCGAGTCAAGCTGGTAGTTTCCTAAACTATTTTGAATTTTGTTTGTACTTAGATTCATATGTATACCTATATGTTTCTAGGGCTAATTAGAGCATTGAAAAAAATCATAATACAAGAAAAAGAGAGCTTTTGAGAGAGAATCTCAGAGAGATTAAACCCTAGTTTGAGTGCTTGTATTTCTTCTTTAATTAATCAAATAAATTGTATGGTGTGGCTCTTGAGTACATAAGCACGTTGTCGAACCTCGTTAAATCAGTGTGTTTTTTTTCTGTAAGTTTTTATCTTTGATTTGTGGTGAATTTCTTTCTTGCTGAACTCTCAAACACAAGATCCGGAAGGGTACAGATTCGATTTGATTATTTTGAATCCCCAACAACTGGTATCAGAGTTTCGTTCAGCAAATTTGTGAGAAAGAGAGCTATGACAGAGGAAATCAAATCTAAGATCGAGAATTTTGACGGTTCAAACTTTGACTACTAGAAGTCGCAGATGGAGGATTATCTATACCAGAAGGACTTGTGTCGCTGTTGATGGGCAATGATATGGGGACAGAGGAAAGAGGAGTCAGACGATGATTGGGAGATACTGGATAGGAAGTCTTTAGGGAAAAGCCGGTTGTCGCTTGCCAAGACAGTAGCCCACAACATATTGAAGGAGAAGACGACGGTAGGGCTTACGAAAGTGCTCGCGAT